CCCGGAGCGCCGCGGACCCCCCGTACTCACCCGGGGAGGAAAGGAGGGAGAGAGACACGGAACGCGAGCCGGAACCGCCGCCGCCGCCGACTAGCGAGGCCCGGCCTCGCCCCGCTATTTATAAGGAGCGCCCGCCGCCGGCCGCCCGCCGCCCGCTCTCTCGCGAGAGGAGGGAGCGTCACCGCCGCCGTACGTCACCGCCGGGCGCGGGCGGGGCGGGGCGTGACTGGGCCGGGGACCGGGAAGGCTGCGTCTGCCAGTCCCGTCCGGCCGCTGAGCGGGCGGGGAGAGCGCCATCCAAGAAAAGAAATCTTAGTAAAGGGAACTCTTGTTCCACTGATCCTTCAGAAAACCAGTTCTAAGTACTTTAATGCAAACTCAAGGGCCAGAAAGAGTGGCTGATGCAGGCTTTCAGATGAGGCACGTAGGCCCGCCAGTGGCCTAGCCAGGAACAGACAGGTTACCTATAAAATGCTGGCTCCCTTCTCTCATGAAATTCTTTCAGCTCATCTAGTTGGGAGGAAAACGAGGCAAGAGATTTGGCTGTGTTGGTCTTAAATTAATCACCTCTCTTCCTTTGCCCAGCACCTGCTAACCAGGGCTTGTCCCACGTGGGGCTGGAACACAGGGTGAACTGAAACCGGGGCCAGCTGGCTCCGAGACTGCCATGCGGCCACCCGTCCCAAAGTGACTTCCCTGCTCGGAAAGGGAGACGAGCCTCCAGTCTTCTCTAGTGCTACAGGTTCAGTTCAGCATGCTCCCAGATAATTGCCTCAGCACATTTAAACATGCATTTCATATGCTGTAACTCTCATAATTCCAAAGGTGCACTTCACTTTTAACCTATAAACAAATGAGATGCACATCACAGTTAAGGATATCAAAATGGCAGGGAAAAATAGTTGTGGACAAAGGTCCTGTTGTGCTTTAACCCCAGCCAGCAACTAAGCACCACGCAGCTGCTCACTCACTCCCCCCCCCCCAGTGGGATGGGGGAGAGAATTGGGGGGAAAAAAAAGTAAAATGCATGGGTTGAGATAAGAACAGTTTAATAGGACAGAAAGGAAGAAAATAATAACAATAAAATGACAATAATAATAATAAAAGAATTGGAATATACGAAACAAGTGATGCACGATGCAACTGCTCACCATTCGCCGACTGATGCCCAGTTAGTTCCTGAGCAGCAAACCCCTCCCACGCCAGCTCCCCCCAGTTTATATACTGGGCATGACGTCACATGTTATGGACTATCCTTTTGGCCAGTTTGGGTCAGCTGTCCTGGCTGTGTCCCCTCCCAACTTCTTGTGCCCCTCCAGCCTTCTTGTCAGCTGGGCATGAGAAGCTGAAAAATCCTTGACTTCACAGTAAATGCTACTTAGCAGCAACTGAAAACATCAGTGTGTTATCAACATTATTCTCACCCTAATTCCAAAACATAACCCTATACCAGCTACTAGAAGGAAAATTAACTCTATCCCAGCTGAAACCAGGACACAACCTACCTATCCTTAACTTAAGAAAAAAAAATTAAAAGGTGTGAAATTATGGATCCTCTCGTGTGTCTCTTTTAAACTCATTATAATATCCTCCATGACAGGGAATAGTTCAGGTTTCAGCCTCACAAGCTTTGTAACATATCTCTGCCAGAGATAGCAGCAATAGATAGAATTCAGGTCCTCCAGCTTTTCTTACGGCCTCAGTACAGCAAAGAGGAAGAGCTGCGCTCCTCTTGCTACAGTGTCAGGGCCCAGTGTGGGCTGATGGCTTCCTGGCAGCTGGGAGCTATGGGGGCTACCTGTGGGGGCAGCAGGGCTGGGCAGGGGTCCCAACCCCCCAGCCAAGAGCAGGGCAGCCGGAATGGGGGGGTGGGCAGCTGGGGGCAGCCCCAGCCCTGGGGATCAGGAACCTGGTGGGGACCAGGATGGGCCGAGGCCAGGCTGGGACATCAGCCTGGAGCCCGGCAGGACTGAAGGGAGCTGGAAACTGGTCCTGCTGTGGTGTCGCTGGGTCAGGGGCTGACAGCCCAGGGGGGCTGATATGGCAGGATAGGGGAGGCCCTGGAGGTGGCTGGGCAGGGCTGGTAAGCCCTGTCAGTGCTGTCAGAGCCCTGACAGACAGTTCCAGTTGGCTGGAGGTACTTTCACTTCAGCTATGAACCTCATGAGACTGGGGTATCAGCTGTTCACTAACAAGGTGACAGAAAAGCCAAAGGGGAGAGCAGTGATAACGTCTGTAAGGACCTGCCTGGGCTGATACTATTCCTTTAGGAACAGGTATAGTCTAATACGCTGAGCCAGAGCCAACTGACAGCTAGAGCACTAGTGTATTGGCAAGATCTGATACAAGGATCTTCAACTGGCCTCACAGCCAGTGGATGGAGGGATATCCTGGGGACTCAAAGTGGGGGAGTGAAAGCTACAGAGAAAGAATAAAGCTACTTTTATTTAAAAGTAGGCATGCTTCCACATCAAGATGGCTAACCAGAGTCTTTACTTAGTCTTTAGGATGACTGTTCAAAGCAGTGAAATAGTGAGATACTCTTAACCACGTCAGGAGAAACTATCCGTGCTCTTGTCCTGCAAAACAGGGAGCACAAAAGGGTGGCCCTTTGGAGTCAAGAAAGCACATCCAGTCACAGCCTTAGGAAGCTGGCAGGCTTTAAAGGACTGCCTCCAACCACCGTTTGAGGCTGTCTGGAGTGAGCTAGAAGCACAAGAAAACTCGTGACATGCCTTCTGTGCCTCAAGTTCTTATCAGTAGCACCAGCGCTGCAGTAGTT